TGGGCTACAATGAATACGTTTGTCAAGTAAGGAGCACATACCCGATTGTGGTGAACATGTGTGACCAGAGTTGTGCTAGGGTGGTGATTGGGGCTCGATAATTACCCGCTTCATGGCTCTGAAGTATCCCAAAGCTGTTCGTCCCATCCACATCAACATGCTCCTGGGGTTGTTGCAGGACCCGAAGAAGTCGCCCCAGAAGTACGCTCGGTACCAGAACAAAGACTACGATGAGCGAGACCTGTAGAATATGGAGAGAACGAACTGGTTTGCCGCGCACGAGGTAAGGCATTGACTTAAGACTTCTGGACTATCTGTGTTTTTTTTAACATTCTTTCCACGTCTTAGCGGGGTTATCAAAGACTTCAGGAAACCAAGTGTGTGACGCTCGGCTATGGTCTCCACGACTCCCCAGTCGCGATACTCGCATGGTTCGTGGGCAAGCTCAAAACTTGGACGGACGATTATCCGTGGACCAAGGAAGAGCTCATCAACTGGACATTCATGCACTATCAGGGCAGTCCGAGCGCTGCGATGCAGATTTACAAAGAGGCGTTGGCTGTCCTGAACAATGATCCAGACAGCATGGTCAAACGCTACGTTACGCAACCAGTCGGTGGTTCTGTTTTCCCTAAAGAGGTGCGTTCTCACACAATATTCAAGCTTCTGCGACTGATCATATCCTGGCAGATTTGGATGTCGCCTCGCGAGTGGATGGAGGAGACTTATAACATCCAGTTCTGGCGGCAGAAAGACGGGGGAGGGCACTTTGCTGCTTGGGAACAACCGGAAGCTCTGGTGAATGATCTGCGAGACTTCTTTGGGGCTGACGGTCCAGCATTTGGGAAGCACTGATCATGTTCACGCGTGAGCGCCAGTGTAGAAGGTCATCGGCACCAATCCTGGCATCATCTTCGTGTGATCAATTGTTCTCTTCAGACAATCTCCAATTTCAATCCCATCCCGCAGACATAGACATCCCGGGACAACCATCAAACTTGACTTGCAACATCTTGACGACATGTGCCAGTGAGGCGGCGGGGTCGGGGGGCTGTTTAGTCAGTGGAGCATCTCGTTAGGCCTCTCACACGCCGTTGCATGTCACCAACGAGGGCGTCTACATGGTAGGTAGGTAGTGCATTCGCTATTGAGTAGGTTTGGAGATTGAATTGAGGGAATGACCGGCTTGTTACTAAATGCACGCATTGGATTTGTAAGTAAGCTATGCATTGGACATGCCTGTTCATTTTCAGTCGAACCTTGCTGCGAAAGAGAAAGACGATAAATCCTGGCATGTATGTTCTCACTCATACATTAATTCTGGCACCGAGCACTAAATAATATAGCGCTTGTCAGCGTCCCCAGCAACTAGGCTAGGTTCTTCGACGGAAGCCGCTTACCCATATGGAGTGGTTGGGCGCGCGCTATGGTGATGTATCTCAGCATCATGCCCGACAATCCGCAGGGCCTAACCCAACATGACGTCGTGTATGCATCGCATGTCAACGATGTTGACGAGATTCAGCGAAGATTCTCCTGAGTTAGTACGATGTGTCATGTATTTTATAAGATATATAGATCTCGCATACTCATGTCACGGATTCGGTGATCAACAAGCACACTGGAGCGGTCGCGATTTTCAATCACGGTTTACAGACATCTCCATCTCACGCATCACTCATCATGGCGTCCCTACAGGGAAAGACAGTATTTATCGTAAGCCATGATGATTTGATGCATGTGTCCCCCCACTGACGCTGCAACAGACAGGTGCCTCCATGGGCATTGGAAAAGCCATTGCTCTAGTCTTAGCAGGCGCCGGGGTAAATGTCGCCTTGGCATCCAGAAGTAAAGTGAGCAGACCTGGCAATCTGGACGAGGCCCATGAGACTGACGCAACATGAAGGACAAGTTGGAGGCCGTTCGGGACAGTATCGCCGAAAAAGCACCAAAGGTCAAAGTCGGCGTTTACGCCATCGACATCCAAAACCATGGAGAGGTCGACAACGCCGTCAAGCAGGCTATTGCTGACCTCGGCGAGATTGACATCCTCATCAATAACGTGAGAAGCTCGAGAGACAATCACGCGCGAAGCGATCGCCTCCTGTAGCTGACAATCCCGCAGGCAGGTCTCGCGCTCGGAGCACCAGCACGCTTCTGGGAGCTCCCCGTCGACGCCGTCTCTCAAATGTCCGGTACGAACGTGAATGGCGTCATGTTCACGACTCATTCGGTACTCAATCGCAGCATGTGGCCGCGGAAGCGGGGCACCATCCTCAACGTCTCCTCAGTCACTGGTCTCGAGTGCCCTCCCTTCAATGGCGAGACCGTCTACCATGCGAGCAAGGCGTTCCTCGAGGGCTTCAGTAACAGCCTGCGGAACGAGACTGCTGGTTCGAATATCAGGGTCCTGGTGCTGCGGCCTGGCGTTGTGAACACGCATTTCCATCTGCAGCGGGTGCAGTGTGATCAGGACGCCATGGAGGACTTTTACCAAGGATATGATCCTCTCGTTGCCGAGGACTTGGCGCAGTCGGCACTCTACATGTTGAGCTTGCCAGACCACGTTTCGATAAAGGCTTTGGATTGCGTACCGACGGCACAGCGGGCTTTGACCAACTTTGATCGGGAATGGAAATCGAGGCAAGAATAGGATTCTCATTCATGTTGTGCTTACGCACACTGAAATACAGTAGGCTGAATACTCATCAAGGGAACAATTCAAGGTGACCTGGCTCCGGCCGTAGGACGTGTGGCGTGTAACGGGTAACGTTTGCTCCAATAAGTTTCTGACAGTGGCACGTCGGTTGCAAGGCCAGAAACCATAGCCATGACCACTTATCTCAACTGCGCGTCCCGATTGACGATGGCAGACGCAGAGGAAGCAGTGTCGAAAAGTCTCGTCGGTGTTACAAGCCCGCGCGGCCAGAAAACCTCTTGGTGTCAAACACCCAGAAGCATAAAGTAAAGTAGGTATATGGTAACGCGTAAAAGTCTAGTAGCTGTCTGCAGAACGCCAAGTGGATCGATCTTTTTTAAGTCACTCGTCGCAATAGAAACAAATATTCAGCCGGCCTGCACTCCTCCACTGCCTTTTTGGACATCAACCAATCCATCAACTAGTCGTGTTGTAGTTGACTCGTGGTGTGCCAATGCCACCTGGTCGCAGCAGAGGTCTATCCTCACGAAGAACTTGACGCTCCTCGCGGTCGTGCAGTCTCTCGAGCTCCTCCTCTGTTTCGGCGTAACGCTCTGGATGGGCCGTGTAGGGCCCGGGCAGGCCATCCTGCCAGCCCTCGGAGTACGTACGGATAGGGTTTGGCCTTTGAGGCTCGTCGTCATCCAGACCGTTGTTCTCGATCTCGTTTTGGTCTCGCTCTTTGGTCAGCTCATAGTAGATGGCCATACCCAGCAGGATGCCTTGCATGGTAGCCGTCAGAAGAAAGATGCCCCACGTGCTCCATCCCTCGGCACCCAATCTGAGCCACAAGTTGAATGCAAATAGATAGCCGCCCGGGGTCTGAATGCACATCATGGGGATGCTGAGACTGCCGACATGTTTCAAGTGATAAGTCGTCCAGATCTGCGGAATATACTGGACAGCGGCGAGCGCGGCTGCCATGACACCCAGCAGGTTGGCCCAAAAGTTAAGATGACTCTTCAAAGCGACGGCAAAAACACCTGTCAGGACGATGATGATGACGGCGTGGAACACACAAAGCAGCCCGACGGTGACCGCAGTGTGCCACTTGGGCGGTTCGCCAGTCAGCTCTTCTTCGGGCACATCTGCATCTTCAGATCGGAAGAAGACAAGGAAAAGAACCAGACTGGCCAAAGCGTTAGCGATTGCCCACAGAACATGCCGGTTGAACTAGAGTGCCTGATTGTCAGAGACGTACATGAGGGCGAAGCAAAGCCACTGGACGCCCAGTTGAGCGATGCCCAGGAGACCTGCCAAGCATTCGGAAGTTTCGAGCTGACTGCAACAGGCGATGTCTTGTCGTGATGGCGGCACGGTCAGGATGTTGGCGAAGCCAGATGTGGCCGAGGTAACGCCCAGAAGAACGAACCAAGGGGAAATGCCCTCGGAAGTTCGCCTCGAAGCGATACGGTGATGTTGGGGGAGATATGAGATCAGGAGGCCAAGAAGGATCAAACTGAGAGGGGTGCGGGTTAGCTTGGTCAGACATGAAGGATCAGGGTGGCCAGGATAGGCGCAGAGACTCACAGAGAGAGGGATAGGTTGAAGTAGTTGGGAGACCGAAGCTCTTCGCAGCGATCCTTGGTCTGGAAGAAAGCGGGCACCGCCATGGTAGGAGAGAAGGCTGCGGAATCCATCTCTCGTCTTTGATAGCGCCTGACTGTGTTGGGAAGAAGCGCCGACTACCTGCTCCAACGAACCAAGAGACGACGATTGAAGAAGTACCAGGCCACTAGGTAAGGTGTGCAGGATTTCCGTCCTTCAATCGCAGTTGGGCAGCCAGGGAGGAGCCAGGCAGCGCCGATCGTCTCAAAGGCTGGGGTGTCCTGCAGCGCGGGGAGTCGGTTCGGAGGTCGGGGTTGAGGGTTGGCGGTTATTTCGCGTCGGGGTGGAAGAGGAGCGATCGTAAGGGACGAGTCAATTCGAGCGCAGTGACGCGGGATCAGCGACACATTTTGCGGGTTCTTGACTTGCGGATCGTGGGGATCAAGCTCTACGGTTTGGTGTTTGTAAAATGAGTCGTCGTCGACACTCGGTCAAGGCGCGGTGACGAGAGATGAGCATGGGAAAGTGCCATCAGCCATCAGCAGACAAGCAGGGAAGCACTGCTTGCCCGCCCAAGCCAAGTGCCACTGACATTCAGGATACGGCAGTAGCGCCGAGCGGCAGGGACCATCCAGTCAAGGTGGACGGTTCTGGCAAGGCCGAGAGCAGCGGCCAATCAACGGAGCCGTGGCCAGCACGCGCCCTCGAGTTGAGCATGACGTCAAAGTCGACTGCCGCAAGGTCCAGCATGCAAAGGTACCTGGATCCTATGTTATCAGGGTCCGGCTCCCCGGAGATCCACTACGAGAATGCCCTCACCGAGACTCACCTGGCCCTGAAGCAAATTGTGCTTGCCATAGACGCGCCGCGACTCTTCGACCTGACCTTGCAATGCTTTCTCCAACAGCCACGACACCGCCAAGCAAACGTTGAGCGCTGGACGCTACAATGACACCCCCTCACAATGTGGAGAGTGGGATCGCAAACAAGAATGGCCAATTTCTAGACCAGGATTTGCTAGACGCCGCCCGCGGTCTCGACTCAAAACCAGCCATCGATGTAGTAGCTGCAACCGCACCACATGAGAGGAACGAGAGTCAAGAGCAGCCTTCATTCTATCGTGGGGCTCAATGGACGGCAGATGGTACCACCATAGTTGCCTCCACCTCCGACAACCGCGTGTCGGCTTTTGTACTTCCAGAAAACTTGCTTGAGCCCAACGACGAAGCTCACCAACTTGGGTCCCAGAGCACCCTTCACCTATCAGAGCCATCTTATGCCGTCGCTCCAGCACCCTTCTTCTCACTATCTGAGTCGGCGTCCCAGACGGTGCTCACCTCGTGCAAGGACCATCCCATTCAACTCCACCACTTGTTTCCCGACGAGGGGACACAATCGCGACTAGCCAGCTACAAGCTCATCCGCCGTGAGACGGAAGAGTACATTTCCGCGGAAACCCTGCTTTGGTCTTGGCCAGGAACGCATTTCCTCGTTGGGTCTACAAATCGACTCGATTACTTTGACGTTTCGCGCACTGGTTCTGATGGACCTATCCTCACGATTCCGACTATTCCCTCAAAACGGCACATCTCAAAGGGAGGGGGCGTTGGTATGAAGGGCATGATCTCGGCGCTTTCCAGCCAAAACCCTGCTATCTCAGAGGCACCGATCATAGCTGCGGGCACGTGGACGCGGTGGCTGGGCCTCTACGACGTATCCCGATCGAACAAGGCCATTGCCAACTGGAGCGTTCGAGGCGTCGTTAATGATGAGTTTGGTTGCAAAGACGATGGCCGTGGCATTGTCCAGACAATCTGGAGCCCCTGTGGACGATACTTGACCATCAATGAGCGACAGGCGAGCAGCATCCTAGTTTACGATGTGCGTGGATCTCGCCAGCCTGTCAGTGTCCTCATTGGCCGTGATGGGGCCACACAACAGCGCCTGAGCTGCGACGTTTTTGCAGCTTCGACCTCTCATGGGGGTTTTGAGGTATGGGCAGGCTCGAAGGACGGCCATGTGTACGTGTGGGAAGACGTTGGCAGCCAGCAAGGTGTGCTCGACACGTCGTGGCGCTTCCAGGCTCACAACTCACCGATCGGGAGCACAATACTCCATCCCAGCGGCTCCGTGGTGGCCACATGTTCTGGGGCTTGGGCCCCAATATCGGATGAAGAGCTCGACGAAGGGCTTGGCTCTCGGGACGAACGACAGCTGCCCACCATATCGTCAACCCGCATCACATCCGACTGCAGCATCAAGATCTGGGCCATTGGCATGAAGGCAACAGGCGGCGGAGATGATGGCTGCCATCAAACTGATACACCACGTCAGAATCAGCAGCAGCATCATGCAGAGCAACATGAGCAAGTTTGATGCAGTCCCCGCCCATCCGCAAAAGTAGCCTGTGAGTGGAAGTCTCTTTTGGCCGAAGATCAGAGGCGCGCATCATTGTGATGTAGATGCTCGTGGATGAGCCTCATATTCGACAATCGATATCGACCAATTCGATCAACAAATATGGCGAGCAATACTTCCTACATCTGTTCTGTCCGGTTCAAATACATGGACATGGAGGGACATAGTCGCGCTTCTTTTTGGTTTGGGTGTTCGGGCACCGAGCACATGGCACGTGAAGTCGAACAACTCAACATCGTCATGCAATGAAGCAGACATCGATCGAGGCATTCTCGTGTTGCGCTACGGGCCTCAGAAGGATCTTCCTGGAATAGAGAACTCATCAAGCCCAGCCTGAGTCCTCGGCTATGCGACCCCACCAGGCCTTGCAGAACGCAGCAAAGTGTCGTGAGCACAGCATTTCCTTTGTTCTGGGCAGAATGGCATTCGGACGCTCGTGACCGTGGTCTAGGTCAGTGCTTACAAACGGCGTCACGTCCCGCCTCCACGGACGTCCGATGCCATTGCAAAGACGGACGTTGTCTATTGCCAACGATGCGTATCAGCACGCCCATTTCATCTCCGCCTAAGGCATCTCCAACAACTTCATTCAGCAGCGCAGTGTTCTGGCCAGTCGGCATTTTCGACCTCTCATTCTGCGGATCTGAGTAATCTGTCCAACTACCAGCAAGGGCACAATGCCGACGCTGAGGCCAGCGCACAACACCAGCCAATCATGCCTGTGTCAAAACACCCCTAACTGACCGCGTTCCTGGCTAAGACCTGCACTAGAAGCTCTCACGTCCGTGCCCCGACTTTGACCTGAGTGAGCCAGCGCGTCCGAGCCCCAAGATTATCAGCGCCAGGGAACCGAGTGCCGAGAACTACATGCGGCCTCCCTACTCCTCCTGACAAGAGGCTTCCTCGTCTTTCAATCGCGCCACTCTGGGCACGACGCACTGACGAAAGAAGTTCAGGTCGCTGTGTTGGCTTGCGGTCAAGGCCCTCCACTGTTTTCCAAGCGACCTAACTGACCACGCCTTGATACTTTGTTCCCAGCCACAGCACCCCAAGGCCACGGGATGAGGTAGCTCCTCGCATCTGCTGAGTCGAGTAGTCTCGGCTCTTTGAGCGCAGATACCCCTGAGTCCAGTGTTCGGAGCTTTCCCAGGTCGGGCGAGGCATGGCTCGGCCAGGCCTGCATGAGGTGTCTTGTGTTCGCCTTCTTGCAATGGGTTCCGCCAAAGTGCAAGTCACCAGCAGTAGCTTGGTAGCGCAATTTATAAAGAGTAGTATCCAAACTCTGCCAAAGTTGTTGGCAAGCAGCAGCAATACTTTGTCACAATTCTCTCCAACTTTCGTTAACTTTGTGGTCGGCCGAGGGCTTTCCGTTCATTGCCCACATCTTCAACCTTGAAATATCACACTCATTTTCAGCCCTCTTCAATCCCACCATGAAGTTCTCCATCGTACTGGTTGCCTTGACGGCTGGTACCTCCATTGCTCATCCGGGTATGAGCAAGGCAATGGCTGATATACAAGAGATTCAAGCACGAGATGGGCGCTCCGGACCCTCGACCGAGATGATCGGCGACCTGGTGGATCTTGATGACAGGCGGCTGACTGCCACCGGCCGAGATATCAAGAACATCCTAAGCGGCCGCGGTATCCCCCAAAATACTGTGGCTAGCTACTGGCTGGGTGCCCCTCGTCTTGGGGGCCTCTTATGCCGCATGGACCAGTGTTGTGTGTGGAAACACATTGCCAACGAGATGCGCGGCATGATGGTCGGAGATGCAGGTCGGTGCAACAATCTTGCACGTACCTCCATCCGTCTTGGCTTCCACGACGCCGCCACCTGGTCCAAGGACACCGGAGGCACCGGTGCCGACGGGTCGATCGTCCTGACGGCCAAGTGTGCCCGCGTTCCCGAAAATAACGGCCTTGCTGAGGTTTGCGCTCAAATGAAGACGTGGCACGACAAGGAAAGGGCTACGGCGTCTCCATGGCCGACCTCATCCAGTTCGCCGCCAATGTAGCCACCGTGTCGTGCCCGCCTCGGCCCGCGTATCAAGACTTATATCGGCCGTAAGGACAACGCCGTCGAACCCCCGCGCAACCTCCTTCCTAGCCCTTTCCACAGCGCAGACCGCCTGCTCCAGCTCTTCGCCGACAAGACCTTTACAGCGGATGGCCTCATCGCTCTCATGGGCGCCCACTCCACGAGCCAGCAGCGTTTCGTCAACCGTACCCGCCCCGGTGATCCCAAGGACTCCACGCCTGGCGTGTGGGACGTCAAGTACTACGGCGAGACCATCGATGCCAACGCACCCCAGCGTGTTTTCAAGTTTCAGAGCGACGTCAACCTAGCCAACGACGCACGCACACGCGCTGCCTGGGAGTCGTTCATCCCCGAGTCATCCCAGGGCGCCTGGAACCATGTACGTCGTTTCGTGCCCGCCTACCTGTCGTTCGATGCTTTTACCCGTACTGACCCGAGACAGGCTTACGCTGCCGAGTATGTCCGCATGTCGCTCCTTGGCGTGTACAACATCAACAGCCTCACCGATTGCACCAAGGCGCTCCCTCCGTTCCAGCGCAGCTACAGCTCGTCGGACAAATCTGTCATCGACCGCTTCATGCACGGACTGATTGGGAGCGCGCAAAAAGTCAAGAACCTTCTGCTGAAAGGAGACAAGGTTCCCAGCAATGTCTAGACATGAAGTCACGATTGACACGATGTGATGCGAGGATGGGTACTTCATCGGCGTTGGCTACTCGGGGGATTGGAAATCTTTCCATATTAATAGATAATGTTTTATTTTGTATTTTTCATGAATCACTTCGCACATTGGGAATTGTAAATGAGGTCGCGGTCAGGTTGTCATGCCGTCGTCTTTTCCTGGCTTCTCCAGTCTGCTTCATCACCATGCTTTGAAGCCTGTCTCTTGTCCAACGTCGCACACATCCGTCCGAGTACGGCACTTCCCCCCAGTAATTCCTGGAAACGCTCCATCCTCTCTTCCCGCGGCATCTTCAGGAAGCGCTCCAAGCCCTGGTCTCCAAAGTCATCTCGGAGAGACGCAGCAAGCAGCTGGGCCGCATATATATTCATGCCGGCCTGTCGCAAGAAGACTTCCCAATCTGTTTCTTCCTCCCTGAGCAAATGCTGCTTGTCACATGTGACATACTGGCGGACTTTCGCAATGGTCCGAGCAACAAGATGACGAGGCCCGCCTCCAACATATACAGGTTCGATCTTTGTGCCACGCAACATGGCGTTCTGTTTGACAAACTCGGAGTAAGCTGCGGCTTCCGCTGGAGACAGTGGTGCCCCTGCAGACGCGTCGTCCTTGCCATCTTTCCAGACAAGAACTACAAGGCGTTCGTACAAGGGGGCCACGTTGTTGATGCGCTTCCGTAATTGTGATGTTGTGTCAGCCGACCCTGGAAGAGGCTTTTGACGAACCTGAAGGAGCGTAGTGACCATGATTCCCGTGGAGGCAGAGATCGACATGTCAGCTTCGAATGAAAGAGCAGAGACCTCATTGTCAGAAGAGGTTGATGCGAGCGAAGATATCCCATGGCATGGCAGGCTGAAATCTCGATCAAGCATATCAACTCCTGCAGTGAGATATTTCTGAAAGCCGTAAATCAAGGAGCGAGGTATCATTGTCGAGATAAAGAATCGGACAGGCTTTTCCAAGGGGGTGATTATCAGGTATGGAGCTTCCTCCGGGGGCACTAGCCATTGACGGGTTACATCTGGGATTGTTCCTGTATGAAGTTGGTCTTGTGAATTTACATGCTGAGTCTTGGGAGGCGTAACGAGAACATCAGACTTTTGCCTTGGCTGTGGATGGTTGATCAAAGCCAAGTAGTTGGACAGCATCTTGTTCAAGGCACCGGGTACGTTATCGGCGAGGAGAAGTTTATTATCCTCCCCATGTGGCTGATGGTATTCGCGCAGTCTCTTGTTTTGGGGCGCAACTCTTTCATATCGTAACCTGTCTGCTTTCCTTTTCCTCGCCAGCTCCAACAGATTTTCTGCTGGTGGTCCAGGCAAAGCGAGTGGTGTGGCCTGACGCACAGATTGTGCAGCAGGAGATCCTTCCCGTGATGGTAGTCTGGCGTTGATCACTGCGTTCTCAGCATGCTGGAATATTCTCAATGAACCGGCATCATAGGTCGCGTATTCCTTGAAGGGGTCTGGAGAGGTGCGGCTCAGCATCACTAATTTGTTCTCACAATCAGCGATGCTTCCAAAACGCTGAGTTCAGCGTCTTTCAACAAGAAAGGCGTCCACCGCAGCTGCCTCTCACGTCGTAGACCCTGAGGCCACGCGTCAGGATACGTCTTCCAGTCGTGCCTCACAGATTTGAACATACTCTTAGAGCACCCATTACTGGCCCGAGATGGATTCGGAATACTGAAGTCGAGCTTCGGGACAGGCAAAAGAATCGTTGAGTCGAGTATTGTGGGCGTATTTCGCCCCAGCTGTTGTTTTACTTGTCCCGTGGGGTGATGGGACTGTGAAGCCAGGCCTTTCGGGTACATTTGTGTTCGTGAGTTGTTTTCTTGAGGCTCGTCTAATATAGTCGCGTCGCTAAAGTGAAGTAAGTGGATGGGATCTGACTTGATGGCGAAGGCATCAAGAGTGGTTGGTGCCTGGTCTGCGTCAACTGAACAATGTACAGAGGAACTCAACTCAGCCACAGTAGGTTTCTCAAACATCACATCACACATCTTAACATACGACGGCGGTGTGAATGAAAGTATGTCTGGCTCCTTTGGTGTGCTCGATAAATGAATGACGGGTGTTTCGGGCGGTGATGCAACATGAAGAGCTGCATGTGTTTCAGTCGTCAGATCTTCCTCTATCAAAGAGACAGCGTCCAACGGAACGAAATTGTCGGGGTTTGGCTGTTCGAATATCGGTGGCTGCAGATGTTCAACGTCCTCCAGAGGAAGTAGAAGAGGGCTAGGCATGCAGTTCGAGCCCTTCTCCGAGCTGTTAGTGCATGAAGATGACAAGAAGGTCATGCGTACTTGAAGGATTGAAATCTCGCTCATGATGGTAGAGAGACTCAGGTTCTCCTCATCGTAGTTTTCCAAGGCCTCAGAAATGCATGTCGTGTCGCACAAATCCGGTTCAATGGTCTCATTTATAAGTTGTTCCTCCAATTGAGCAAGAGTGGCGTACGCCTTTCTAGGAAACGTCATGCTTTCGTCCTTGTGCTCATCCACCGGCTCACGGGGAAGTATTGATGTATGGATGGGATTGGGCCGGGAACCCGGAGAATATTTCTTGAGAAAGTCCTTGAAATCTTGATCGTGATTGCTGGGCAGTAGAGGCAACTCGAAGTCCTTGGTCACTCGTGAGGAGTACGTACTCGCGTCCTCCGCAAGTATATGTAGGTCCTTGGTCGTGACATCCTGGCTGCAACTGTTGACGAGGTCAATACTAGACTCATCTGGTAGGACGGTCTCGCGAAGGCAGGGTGCTGTCAAGCAAAGATCTGCGAGGTTCGTCTCATCAACTTCTTCGACGAGGGGCAACAGAGCTGACAGTGATGCAAGATGGCCTGTAGAGGCCCGGCTATCAGTGATGTGCTCCGTTTGACGAAGATCGTACCGAACAGCTCTCAAGGTGGCATGGTAGATGGCGATTGAGTCTGGTTCATAGGTGATTGGCGATGCGAGAGTGGCGCTCATGATGTTTACAGATCAACAGACCTGCTGATGCATTCTGCTGTATGCGGCACGGGTATGATGAACCGACCAAGTCAATGCGAGCACATTGTACTGGCAGTATTTCTCCAGAAGGAGAAGAAAGAGAGACTGGCTCGATGGAAGTCGTGGTTCGCTCCTGCCTCGAGTTCGTCGCTCCTGCCTACCTGCCTTGCATTCAAAGGACCCAGAAGCAATAGCAGGAACGACCACCTAGGGACAATGCAGAGGGGAAGGAGCGGATCACCCCAACTTCGACAGCTCTCAAAATCATTTGTAGCTGGTTCTCACAATGCGAGGAGGTTGTTGGCATCTCCAGCATCGTTCTTATCCGCCTCTGTGAGAGAGACCATACCGTTGCACCTATGTGACGTTGACGGTGAGCTTGATGGTGTGCCTCCTCGACGAACGATTTCCTCTCTCGACAATCGACCCCGCCGCAACGTGACGAAGCCGGGTCATCCGAACCCCCAGATCTCACATCAATAGCTTAAGAGGTATAACTTGCTCAAACGCCGACGTTCCGAGATATAACTGACATGTGCATTTGGCACATTTTCAATGCGACCTTCTTCGGCGATCAGACCTGTCGATCAAAAGGTTTGCTGCGACTGCAACCCGGATGAAGGAAAGCTTCATGGCCATGACGTCTCAGCACTCGATGTAGCTCAATTTCGGACAACGGCAACCAGTGACTCCGAACCTGATGCAACAGGCCTGTCTTCGTTCGGTGGCCACCGATTTGTTCTTTTCCAATCCGAGCATAACAGCGGCCCAGATGCTGCGCCAGCGCTTTGATGCCAAAGTTGATGATCTTATCTATGGCTTCGGCATATGCGGTTCAACCCGAGCCAATTTACCCCTTTGTCGCATCGACAGTGGAGCGATCGTCAGACGGGGATGGCATTTCTTCTCAAATGGGGGTCCCTGAACTGCCAAAGGTCGAAAGCATCACCCCAGACAGTTTCATTTAAACAAAGGTGTATTTTACCATGAACCCACCATTATAGCTTGAACTCTATTGTGTGTACCTGGAAAATGGATCGAAGCTACGAACTATGGACGGACATATTGGCTCGAGTCGTCAATATAAAGTACAGAATAACAGCTCCGACGAAAGGGCAGCAAGAGATCATGGCTTCATCGCATTGGCAACCTTGTTCATCTGGTCTCTGTTCAGATTGTCATTTATTTCTTATTGAGTTTTAACTCTTTGATCCGTTCGTTTACCCCTGGCTTAACTCATCTTTCTTTCACCTGCAATCCACAGCATTGTCACACGTCACCATGAAGGCGACATCTCATCTCACGTCTGTGCTGGCCGCCACGGGTTTTTTGCAATCCGGTGTCCAAGCCGTCCAGCCTCTCGTTGACGTCGGGTACGCCAAGTTTCAGGGAGCCGTGACGAACAAGGCGCTGGACGTCACGAGCTGGAAGGGCATCCAGTTCGCCGCCCCTCCCGTTGGCGAGCTTCGTTTCGCTGCCCCAGCCGACCCGCTCCAGACAGGCACGGTCAACGCATCAGCCCACGGTCCCATCTGCCCCCCACAGCGGCCGGGGGACTGGACGGTCACCGGTACCTATGATCGCTTCAAGGTCGACGAGGACTGCCTGTACTTGGCCGTGACAGCGCCCTCCCAGGCCTCGAAGGACTCGAAGCTGCCCGTCGTCTTCTTTCTCCAGGGTGGCGGCTTCACCTCCAACTCCAACGCCAACTGGGACGCCAGCGAGATTGCAGCTGACGGCAATGTCGTCGTCGTGCAGATCAACTACCGCGTCGGCATGTACGGCTTTCTCCATAGCAAGGAAGCCCTCGCGGGCGGCTCGCTCAATGCTGGTATCAAGGACATGTTGAAGGCCCTGGAATGGGTGCAGAAGAACATCCACAACTTTGGTGGCAACCCCGACCAAGTCGTCCTCGACGGTATAAGTGCCGGTGGTTCAGCCGTTGGTCTGCTCATTGCCGCGAACACGGGAAGCGAGAAGAAGCCTTTCGTCGGAGGCATCGTCGAGTCAGGCGGCTGGGTCACGATGCGGACGATGGAGCAAGGACAGGGGCAATACGATTGTCTCGCCAGGGAGAAGGGCTGCGCCGACTCGGCCGACTCGCTCTCCTGTCTGCGCGCCCTGAACCAGTCAGCTGTTCGGTCGTCCAACTGCTGGTTCAGCCCCAGTATCGACGACGACCTTTTCTCCGACAGCTTGGTGAACCTCTACCGCGCGGGCAAGTACACCAAGCTCCCGACCATCTGGGGCACTTGCGCCAACGAGGGTACCAGGACGGCGCCGCAGTCGACCAATTCGACGGAGCAGGCCCTCGCCTTCATCAAGCGCCAAGATCCCTCGCTGTCGGACAACTCGCTCGCCATCATCGACGACCTCTTTATTGATGTCCCGCAGCCCGTCTTCCCGAGCTCGGGCGCCAAGTGGCGCCAAGCCGCCAACGCCATCGGTCACATGGGCAACCACTGCATCGTCCGCAACGTCCAGAACTACCTTGCGCGTGACGAGGCCACGACTTGGAACTACAAGTACGCTGTCCTCGACCCCAAGGATGAGGCCGACGGCTTCGGCGCCTACCACGTCGTCAACACGTATGCCTTCTGGGGTCCCAGCCGCACCGACGGTGGCCCGCCTGCCTCGTACGCAACCACCAACGCGCCCATCGTCTCGCAGTTCAGGAAGTACTGGATCTCGTTCGTGCGCAACCTCGACCCCAACAGCGATCGCGAGGAGGGTGCCGCTGAGTGGGCCCCCTTTACGGTCGAGGGGCGCGAGAGGCTTTTCGTCCAGACAAACAACACGCACATGGAGAAGATGAGTTCGGCGCAAAACCTGAGGTGTGATGTTGTGAGGCCTGTCTCGGAGAACCTGGGCAAGCCGGTCAACAGTGGCGTTGTGACGACTCTGGATGAAAAGCTGGCAGCTGGTATGGACGACACGAGCGAGGATACCACTTTGTCCTGAGCGGCTTTGATCTGCTGTGTCGGCTGCTATGCGTTGTAGTGCATTGCAGTGCATTGGTAGCAATCCAGTGCAATGCTACATAGCAATGTACTTTCACGAATTTCAATGAATCAGATCAAAAGATTTTGCAACGTCGAGAACAGGGGTGACCATTGAAGACCAGACTCCGCTTCCCTGGGCATCAGCCAGATACAGGGCTGGTCTGTGGCGTGCCGAGTGTTTACGCCCCGAGCCGCATCGGAGACAAAACCTGGGCAAGCCGCGAATCGGGCAGGTGAAACAGCAGCCACTACGTGCAAGTGATGGCCTTGGTCTTCGACGCCTCAATACCCTTACACAGTTGCCTGCGTGACTGCGGCGTTCGACGAAGAGCTGACATGGTTCAGCCGATGTCCTGATGCTTCTGTGATGAGTCTGAAGCCGAACGGCTTCGGAATGGGAAGATCTGCTGGGGAGCCGGTACCAAAGCGCACAAGGTATAAGAACCGAGGATGAACTGGCGCAATTCGCACAAAGCCCCAGAGTAGGACATCAAGTCATCCACAATACCTATTGTCAGCATTGCCTATCCAGACAAGAAACGCCATGGCCGCCCAAGCCCCCAGAAAGCAGGTCCGCGTCGGCGTCATGATGGAAAACATCCAGCTCGCCGACATCATCGGCATTGACATCCTCAACAACCTGTCGGCCCTGACACCCGAGATGCAGGCGGAGATGGTTGCCTCCAACATCCCTGCCGAGGCCTTCACCAAGTATGACAGGCACTTTCTCGACATTGAGTTCTTCTACATGTCGACCACGCTCGAGCCGGCGCCCACAACGCCCTCGCTCCGCTGGCTCCCCAACGTCACCTACGACGAGTGCCCGCGTGACCTCGACATTGTCATCACGGGCGGGCCGTACCCGTCCCACCGCCCGGCGGCCGCCGACAGGTTCATGAAGGAGGCCTTCCCCAAGACGAGGGTCTGGATGACGACTTGCACGGGCTCCATGTGGCTCGCGAGCAGCGGCGCACTGGATGGGAAGAAGGCCACGACGAACCGCAACTTCCTGGCCGGTGCGAAGCAGATGTATCCGGCTGTTGAATGGGTTGAGCAGCGGTGGGTCGTGCAGGACAAGGTGTACGAGGGCGAGGGCAAGGGCGAGGTTTGGACTGCGGGTGGTGCTGGCGCTGGTAAGTCATGCCACGCATCCTTTCCTCGATTCTGGTGCCTGTGCTGACCGATGATCCCAGGCATCGACATGGTGGTCGACTACTGCCTGAAGAACTTTGATCCCCAGTTTGTTCAGGACGTGTCGCTGACGTCCATCGACTTTGGACCCAACACGCCTAGAGGGCAGTTTTACTGAGATGCATGGGTCCGTTGTTTCGGCGAAGGAACTGGTTTGGATGTTTGATAGGCGGTGGAAGGGGGATGGTGGATGGCAACAAGCCTGATGACGTCCCAAATCTGACGGACTAAACACCTGCCTAATCCAAGGTGGAAAGTCGGGGCTTCCGCCCCTTCTAGGCTACAAGTTGCACACGAGGAAGCAACACAAGCGTTTGGATCGGCTCGACTAAGGTCTTATATACCGGTGCCTAATTCTAACAATTCCGGAACGCCCCGCACATCCGATCCTTCGTGAGTCATTCGCCGGACCTGCCCCCCCTCAGTAGCACCTTCCCGGCCCCCGCTCCGTCCAAACCTCCGTGTCCTCATCAAGAGCCCCGTTCTGTTGGTGCCTTAAGCTTATTACAAGACCCCAGGCCTCTTGAAAAGGCACCTTGCCATCGAAAGTTGCGCTTCTCGATTTAGGCCTCCTCTTCGCAAGCACCTTCGCAACCGTGACGCGGACTCTTCTCCCCATTTAGAGTGACATCATCGCACCCACCACCAACATGCCGCTCGAGCTCCGCCCGCGTCGAGGCTTCAGACCACGACATCCTCGAACGCTGCATCGTCGTCGAGACGGCCGCGTTTGACTCGAGCCACATCAAGCCCATCGTCTACCCAGGTCCCTTCCCGCCCGACGCCGACGAGCGCCGCGTGGCCGAGCTTTCGGAGACGCTGTCCAAGGAGCCGAACATCCACTTCATCGCCGTGGCGGACACGGAGATTGAGGGCCCGGACGCCATCGTCGCCTGGGGTAAATGGATGGTCTACGCCGACGGCATGCCCCCGCCCAAGGAGAGGACGTTCTTGCCGGGCATGAATTTCGAGGCTGCCAAGCTGATGTACGGGGGGATTGACAGCCTGCGGAAGAACGTCGAGGGTCTGAAATGCATGTGTGAGTACCTAATGTCTCGACCCCGGTTTGCGTCATCGGCCGACGACGGGAACGCGTTGCTGATTTCGCTCGATAGATTTGAATGTCCTGGTGACGGACCCCGAGCATCAAGGCCGCGGCGCGGGGAAGCTGCTGATGCAATGGGGCGCTGACGAGGCGGATCGCCTTGGACTGGCGACGTTCCTTGAGTCTTCGGAAGCGGGACACGTGCTGTATCCCAAGTTTGGGTTCCAGGATGTCGAGCCGCTCGTGGTCAGCCTTGCGGAGTTTGGGCTTGAGAGGCCTTATCGAGCGTGGGGCATGGTGAGGCCGGCGAAGGAGTGAAGGGTCATGTCGGATGTGGGCGATGAAGCAGTGTGAGTTGATAGAGTCAAAATGGTGTGCCCAAACACGACCTTATTGTTTTACCATTAGTGAATGAATACCAGCGTCCTTTTATTAGTAGGTGCGCCGGTGCAGCAGTAGCTTGCGAGATTACTGCATTTTTTCACTGCCTAAAATGATTTCGAGATGAGTAAATACATATAAGTAGCAGACGAATTGATCAACTTGTTCGACTCGGGATCATTTTGAACACATGGAGCATGCTGGCCTTAGGGCGCCATCATCTGTTCTCGACTTGATGTTCCAAGCCTGACTACCAGTCATACGAATTCAATGAGAAAATAGCAGACAGTACCCCTTCAAGTAAGAGTTCCGACTGAAAAGCACGGAAAAGCCGGAATAATGGGCAAGAGGCAGCACAATGTTTGACATGACCACCATCCAGAGCAATGACAGTCATGCCGAGGTGAGCTTCATTGTAGCCCCTACTGGTCCGTGCATCTCCCTATCGATAGCGGTCATGATCTCAGCACTGCCGGAGCTCTGGTCCCCTGAGTCCGACCAAGCTCTCTCCTCCCATTCCCCGTCATCGTCGACGTCGATGGCCCAATTCTTTGGGGCTGGAGACACCTCGTTCGCAAACTACCCTCACTCAACCTGGCAACATGTCGTACATTGTCCCCATTCACCGGCCCAGCAGCATTCGCCTGGCCATTTCAAGCCGCCTGTGGCCAGACGAGGATGTGCTGGTTACTGCGTGCGTTGCGCCCCTCCATCACCCCTCCCTCACCACGGCTTCGATTGCTAACCGCCAGCGACAGCAAGGTCAATCGGCTTGAGATCTCACGCCCCACCTCAGAAGGCTTGACTCTGTTGAGCTCATCCGTCGTCTGCGGCACCATCACCCTCCTGCAAACCCTCCGACCCAAAGCATCCGAGACCGACATTCTCTTCGTCGGTACCGACCTCTTCCAGTACTTCACGGCGCGATGGGACCCCGCACAGGGCAAGCTCGTCACAGAGCAAGTCATCCAGGACATTGCAGAGCCGCACATGCGCGAGGCCCAGAGCCAGGACAAGTGCCTTGTCGATCCCGCGGGCCGGTTCCTCGCCATGCACCTGTGGGAGGGCGTCATGAATATCATGCAACTGGGCACGCGCAAGGGGGCGAACTTTAGGCTTGATAAGGACTGGGCTCAGGTTCGCCTCTCTGAATTGTTCATGAAGGCAAGCACATTCGTGCCCACGGAGACGGGACATCCGACCATTGCCTTTCTCTACCAGAGTTCCATCGATAGGGAGGATGCGCATCTGGCCGTCTACAGGCTCATGGAGGACGGCAACACCAACGTTTCCAAGTTTGACCCTTTGAAGAACAGAGAGCTCGAGCTCGAAATTCCCGACCCGTTCGCGAGGACACTCATCCCAGTGTCGATTGTCGAATCGGACGTCAAGCGTTACCATCGCCGCGACACAACAAATGCCAGTGCGCAGCTTGGAGGACTGATTGTCGCTGGTGAGACAATGCTTATCTATGTTGATACCCTGACGAAGGTCAAGATCAGCAAGGCACTCGACGAACCTAGAATCTTCGTTTCGTGGGCCAAGTACGATGTTACACGATACCTTCTCGCCGACGACTACGGAAACCTACACCTGTTGACGCTCGAGGTCGACGGCGTCATCGTGACTGGACTGTCGCTCAAGACGATTGGAAAGACATCACGAGCCTCATGTCTAGTGTATATGGGCAACGAGATTTTGTTTCTGGGATCACATCATGGAGATTCTCAGCTTTTCACGCTTGACCTATGCGCTCACACAATACGGCTGATCCAAACAATACCAAACATCGCCCCGATCCTCGACTTCTCCATTATGGACCTGGGTAACGCCGGCGACAGTGGGGTTGGAAACGCTTTCTCGTCTGGGCAGGCCCGCATCGTGGCGGGCTGCGGTGTGCACCATAACGGTAGCCTGAGGAGCATCCGGAGCAGCGTCGGCTTGGAGGATATCGGAATATTAGACGACATACAGGATGTCCGTGGTCTGTTCTCGCTCAAGTCATATGGGTCTGAAAAGGTTGACACGCTTGTCGTCTCGTTCTTAACAGAGACGAGGGTCTTCAAATTTGATGCCGATGGCGGCGTCGAAGAGCTTACGGCCTTCCAGGGCCTCACACTTGACCAGCCGACTTTGTTCGCAGGCTCATTAGCCAACGGCCACACACTGCAGATTACGGCTTCCTCCGCACTTCTTCAAGACTCGGAAAGCGGTGTTACGATAAATTCGTGGACGTCCCCCAACGGAGGAAGTATCGTCAATGCTTCTGTCAACGAGAAGTATGCACTCTTATCTGTCGGCGGAAGCACCCTCGTGTCCTTGAATCTGACTCAAAACTTTGATGTACGAGAGCAAGCACTGGGCAACGGCATCGGGGGCGACGGCAGCCAGATTTCGTGCATTCATGCATCGCGAGACTTCCCTGATATTGGCGCTATTGGCTTTTGGTCGACAGGCTCCGTGTCGGTCATCAACCTCGGGACACTGCAAGCACTGCATGGCGAAAGCATCAAACAGAACGACGACAACGTCTCTGTTCCCAGGGATCTCGCCTTTGTCCAGCTGCACCCGCCTCAGCTCGCAGGCCCTACGCTGTTCGTTTCTCTCGAGGACGGCCAAGTGGTTTCAATCAACGTCTCAAAAGATGATTATTCTCTCACGGCGAGGAAAAGCGTCACGTTGGGAAGCAGGGAGGCAGGCTTGCATGTGCTGCCGCGACCGGGAGCCCCTGGTCAGAGTAATGTGTTCGCCACGACCGAACACTCGAGCCTGATCTACAGCTCTGAGGGTCGGATCATTTACTCTGCCGCCACGGCCGAGGATGTAACATATATCGCGCCGTTTGATTCCGAGGGGTTTCCCGATGCCATCTTTTTAGCTACCGACAAGAATGTTCGTATCGCCAACGTGGATACCGAACGCCGGACTCACGTCAACCCCCTTCATATCGGTGAGACTGTGCGGCGGGTGGCTTACTCTCCGGCACTGAAGGCATTCGGTATCGGCACCATCCGAAAAGAGCTTTTGCACGACGAAGAGGTTGTCTCAAGTGCCTTTCAGCTCGTGGACGAGATTGTGCTCGGCAAGGTCGGCAGGCCCTTTGCCCTTGGCGGAGAAGCTTCGGTGGAGCTGGTTGAGGCTGTGATCCGAGCCGAACTCGACGACAGTACAGGACAGCCCGCCGAGAGATTCATTATCGGCACAAGCTATCTCGCAGACCCCGACGTGAACGAAAGTGGCGATGTCAAGGGTCGGATCTTGGTGCTTGGTGTAGACTCTGACAGGAACCCGTACCTCATCGTCAGCCACGAACTGAAGGGTGCTTGCCGATGTCTGGGTGTGATGGGGGACAAGCTCGTGGCAGGCTTAAGCAAGACCGTGGTAGTCTACGATTATATCGAGGATTCGACGACATCAGGAAAGCTTGAGAAGCTGACGACATTCCGGCCCTCGACGTTTCCCGTTGATCTTGACATATCCGGCAACATGATTGGAGTGGCTGATTTGATGCAGTCCATGACCCTGGTCGAATTTTTACCAGCAAAAGACGGCCGCAAGGCCAAACTGATAGAGAGAGCGCGACACTTTGAATACATTTGGGCCACAGCAGTGTGCAGCTTGGGCGAGGAATCCTGGCTAGAAGCGGACGCGCAGGGAAACCTCATGATTTTGGAACGTCAGCCGGACGCGCCGACTGAGCATGATCAGAAGCAGATGCGCACAACGAGCGAGATGCACCTGGGCGAGCAGGTGAATAAGATCCGCCCGCTCCAGATTACGGCGACAGAGAACGACATTATTGTCCCAAAGGCCTTCCTCGCGACGGTAAGCAACCCTTTCGGCGACAATTGTTTGTCTTCAACCGCTAATCAACGCACACAGGTCGACGGTTCTCTCTATGTCCTTGCCAATATCAGTGCCGAGTACCAGAGCATCCTGCTACCCTTCCAGGAACGACTGGCTGGGATCGTGCGCTACCTCGGCCAAGCCGCTCCAGAAGATAACGAGGGACCCTCGTTTAGCCAGTGGCGGGGCTTCAGAAACGCAAAGAGGATGGCGGCAGCACCGTTCAGGTTTGTGGACGGAGAGCTGATTGAGCGGTTCTTGGACTTGGATGAACTTAGACAAGAAGCTGTTGTGGAGGGATTGGGACCCTCTGTTGAAGCGATGCGGAATATGGTTGAAGAGCTCAGAAGGATGCACTAGCTGACGATTGTATGATAATAAAGACACAACCTACCTGGTGGACGCACGTACACATGAGGCTGCTTGGTGAAGTGTGTAAGCAAGTATCGAGTAGAAACGCTTCTTTTGGAGAAAGACTATGTTTATAGCGGTAGCTTATGCAGATATAAGTGAGATGTCATAGACGGGTCCCCGGAAACGCCCGGGTATCAGGCCACAGCACGCCCAATCACAAACTGTCAATTTCATAGCCTGTGCCTCAGGCACCTATGCACAGAAAGCTTCGGCAATCCTCAAACCACCATCATCACGAACCACCTCTAGGAAAAAAAGAGCGCTTCCGCCCTTGAATCTGCCCATCAACCTCCACTCCACCCCCCCCGCCAACCCCCCCAATTGACCTCGAACCGTCACGATGGCGCCCCTCGCAAACGCTTCCCGCACCTGCCTGCGCCAGCTCTCGCGGTCCGCGGCGGCTCCCACCCGGGCGCTGAGCACGACGGCCGCCCGCGCCGACTACACCCCCCACAGCTACTCGAGCCCCTTCAAGGGTGCACAGAAGGGCGATGACATTCCCGACTTCTCCAAGTACATGAGCAAGGGCAGCGGCGCCAAGAACCACCTCTTCTCCTACTTCATGGTCGGCACCATGGGCGCGATCACGGCCGCGGGTGCCAAGTCTACCGTTCAGGGTACGTCACCACGAGCCGAGGCGATGGGCAGGAGACGAACATGATGCCATTGGGCATTAGGATTGGCAAGAGGAGGATCGTCTGATGGAGTTTTATGGGGGGTTTGATGGCTGGATCGAGTTCAATTGCTGACGGCGATGCAGAGTTCCTTGTCAACATGTCCGCCTCCGCCGACGTTTTGGCCATGGCCAAGGTCGAGGTCGACCTCAGCGCCATTCCTGAGGGCAAGAACGTGCGTTCCACCACTCGTCCCAGATTTGCGGAGGAGAACACATCGCTGACTTGCAGCAAAACAGGTCGTCATCAAGTGGCGCGGAAAGCCCGTCTTCGTTCGCCACCGCACCCAGGCCGAGATTGACGAGGCCAACAAGATCAACGTTGCCTCTCTACGTGACCCCCAGAACGACAGCGATCGTGTCAAGCAGCCCGAGTGGCTCGTCATGCTTGGTATGTCGTCCCCTCCCGGCATTACCGCATCCTCATCTCGTGCTCCTCCCGTGAGCGCGCCTCACTGACTTTTTTCTTCCAGGTGTCTGCACCCACCTGGGTTGTGTCCCCATTGGCGAGGCCGGTGACTACGGCGGTTGGTTCTGCCCCTGCCACGGTTCCCACTACGACATCTCGGGCCGTATCCGCAAGGGCCCTGCCCCTCTCAACCTCGAGGTCCCCGAATACGACTTCCCCGAGGAGGGCAAGCTTGTCATCGGTTAAAAGCGAGATTTGCTAGCTTGAAAGGGGGAAGCGGCAGCGGCAGCGGCGACGTCCTTTTGTACGAATATCCTCGGAGAAACGGCGGACGAAGACGGAAAACACAATACACAAACGACGTATAGATTCTTTTCGATCATCTGCCGGCGGCGCGGGAATCAGCGGTGGACAGCAACGAGAAGGGACGGGAGAGGATGAGGGGGAGACTGCGTTTTTCCTAGACAATGGCCCGGGCATGCGCTTTGTCATGTTGTATAATCAGTCGAGCGTCCGGGAACAATGAGAGCCTCGAAACAACACCTTTTTTTTTGCGGTCCTTGGAGGTGTGAGTTTTGTTTGGCGAGGTATTGACTTAGGATTCAGGATCTAGGAACTGCGAAGCAGCGATGACGACCGCACACTTGGTAGTCGCCAACGACTTTTGGCCCCAAGGCCTCGAGTGGCATCTCAGACTCGGACAATCAGCAAAATTCGTCACACTCGCCACCAGATTCTCAGCTGCCATCAACTGCGTCGATGACAAACAGATGCCGACCCGTGCCGACGACTTTCAACCTTTCTCGATAACGAAAGTCCACCCAGTGAACCTGGACGAAAACAACCCAGCAAATGACACAAGCAGCATTCGTCCGAACATGGCATACTGGACATGCTCATGGAAGCACTGGCCATGAGGATGCTACGGTCAACACCAATACGTTCTCGAATTAGAGCCTTCGTTTGGCACTTCGAAACTCCCAACGCGGAAGCATGGGTTTCCAGCAGTACTGTCGTGTGATGCTACTGTTCAAGCCATGATGCTTGTCTGGACGCAGTCCTTCCCAGTACCAAGCCCATGCAAGCTGAGAAACACGAGGCCGAGGCAGACGCGGGCTGCTCATCGACCTGGCTCATGGTTCAGATGAATGTAGAGCCATATCTGAGCCCTAATCCCAGAGCCCTGGCCTAGAACTCAGTCCTACATCATGCTAATGGGCAGGCCAATTGATCGGACCGATCTCTCCGCAAAATTGCCCATCCCGAAGGAATCTAGATCTGGTTGATACCGAATCAGACAGGTTTCGCATTGACTCCCCCTGGCCGCAAAAGAGGATCATGACGAAGGGGCCACGGCTGAATCCCCTAGCCAGAGCTGCCAGAGCTGCCAGAGCTGCAATTGTCCATAACCGTGCATCATCCAATGCTAGGCGCGTTAGAGGACGGCCGTTGGAACATCACAGCGCGCGGTCGGGGGACCCTTGTCTTGCCAGGGGCCACATTGCGTCTGAGAGCCAATCGCCAGTGTTCCTGCGTCTGAGACGTTTGACGCGACAGGTGGTGTCTGATTTTCCTCTTGATCGCCATTGACTCTTTTCTTGCCATTTGTGCCCAGTGAGCCGTGACCAGGGCGAGCCATGCTTGCTACCTGTCAGATCTATTTCGATGGATCTCAAGTCGATTGCTGTGCAAAGAGAGTTTTGATGTGCAGCTGTTTTGGACTGACGGATCGCTTGGTTGCAACCCAGTTGTACTCCATTTCACTGCTATTTTACTTGGTCTTCACGATGTCTTCAGTTTCGCCACAAGACCAAGAAATATGAGTGCTTTTGACATTTGGACAAACCTACGCCTCTGACATTTCTACAAAGATTCACCCACAGTACATATCTGCTCCACAGCCTGGCTGGCAGCATACGAACCGAGCGGTGTAGTCTCAGCCAAGACTATTTACACGGAATATGGTAGGATTTTGCAGAGCTCCCCACTGGGCCAGCCCGCTCTCGGATCTCGTCGCTACCGAAGTATCCTCCCAAGGCTCATCTCAAACAACTTGATTCGGCCTCTTCGCCCGGGTACGTTGAAGATCAGCATCTTGTTGCCCCGACTGGATGCTTTGGACTCCTCCAACCGAGCTGGGCAGGGTGTGAGATGAGACGGAGGCCAAGCGCTGGACCAAGTGGTTTTCTGTCATCCCATCTCTGGTGGCCATTGATGCCCATATAAGACGATCTCATCCGCGCCAGGTATGGGGTGGGTTTGTGGACTCATCAGCTCAATACAGTCTTCTTCTGACCTATTCTTTCTTTCTACGGTTCTGTGAGCCTCCTTTGCTTCTCTTCTCTTCGTCCTGCGATCAACATTCTTTCCAAACCGCTGGGCCGGCCCTTCTTTATTTGTCTACATCGTTTGACAGTCCGTCATTCAACACCAAAACTCGTAGTTCAACTTTCCAAAACATCATCATGAAGTGCCAACACACCGCCATCCTGGCCGCCCTCGCTGGGCTCACTGCCGCTGAGGTTCCCCAGGAACACTCGCACGAGAAGTATCTCATCGCCGTCAACGAGCTCCTCCAGCTCAACAACCCCTTCAACATTGCCGACTCCGTCTTTGGCTTCCTCGGCGCCGCTGCTGCCGCCGATGGCGCCGGTGACGTGACCAACACCGACTGTCTACAGCAGATCACCGCCGACTCGGCATTCACGGGCGCCAAAACTGCCGGTGACATCGACGGCATGGCTAACGCTCTCATCTTCCGCGCCCTCGAGCGCAACAGTCTCTCCGTTGGCGAGCGCAGCGCTCTCTGCAACGAGACGGCTGAAAACCCGGAGATCGCTGCCATCTCGCAGCACCAGGATCCCGCGTCCGAGGGCGCCGCCGAGGAGAACAAGGCCATCACCCTGGCGCTGGCGCAGCAGCTTGCGCTTATCGGAGTTGATCCCCAGCTTGCGCTCGAGTCGGGAACATTTCCTCCTGGCGAGGTGAGTGCCACCACAAAGACGTGTTTCGGCAAAGTTGACTGACATCGTTGTAGATCGGTGACCCCACCGCCGCTGGCTTTACTTGCAACGACGAGACTGACCCCGTCGGCTGCATCTTTACTGAAAACCTCCTCGTGCCTGACGCGACCCCTGAGGAGATCGACGCTGCCGTTGCCGAAGTCCTTGCAGAGGGCGATGCCGCTGGCATTGCTGACGGTAGCCTGAACGATGCCCTCGTACCCAGTGAGTACTCCCAAGTTGATTGAGCAATGTAAATCGTACTGACCTGTCCTAGTCTGCGAAGCCATCGGAGCTGGTGCCGGTGCTGACGCCGGCGTCGCCGTCCCTCCCGCCAACGGAACCGCCGCCGCCCCTCCCGCTGCCTCCGAAGCCGTCGCCACCCCCGTCGAAGAAGAGGAAGCCGCCGCCGCCGAAGAGCCCGCCACGGCAACAGACAAAACATCCAGACTTTCACGGGCACCCTCGTGGGGGCGGCGCTAGTCAGTCGTCTCCTCCGCGGAAAACGCGGACCGCCCCTTCTCGTCGGAGAGGCAACCT